GTCGACGACTGCCCAACCAACGGTCCAGACTACAACAACGCCTGCTTATCAGTCCGTCCAGACCACAGCAACGCCAGCCTATCAATCACCCCGACAGGCAGCAGCCCAGACAGCCCGAGCCAAGTCTCGTCAGGCAAATCGACCTCAAACCCGAACTCCAGTCCCCGCTGCACCGCCTGCTCGGCCAGCCCAGGCTCAAGTTAACCAAGCAGCTGCCAAGGCCCCGGCCTATACCTCGAATACGGGTGCCTCAAACACCACCACGGCGGCGTCTTATGATTACAACCAATATTCGACCTCTCGTGCTGAGGCGTCCAACAGCCGGGTGGCATATGAGCCGTACTCCACCCATCCAGCGCCGACAGCTTCGACCGCTTACTCGGGTTACGACACGTACAATCCTCGTCAAGCAAGCAGCACCGCATCCACAGGGTTGGCCAACCCGGCGTCACAGACGGTGGCGTCATCTTACAACGCCACTACGGTCACGGCCCCGAGCTCATCGCAGTGGGGAACCACGGGAACCGCTTCTCAATCGCGAAATGCTCAGTCATACAGCGCCAGTCAGCCCGCGTCCACCGGAACGGCCTATGGCGGACAGCATCAGTCTCAGACTCACCAAGGCTTCAACGTCCGCCCTCAGCCGCCAGCACAAGCCAGAGCACCGTCGAGCGCATACAGCCAGCACACCCAGCAACCTCAGCAGCAGCCGCAACAGCGGCAGCAACCATCCCAGCAGTCCCATCAGCAGCACCAACAGGGCTACAGCGGCTACTCCAATCAGCAGCACAATACCACTGCCCCGCAACAGCAGCAGCAGCAGCAGCAGAGCTGGTACGGCTTTAATGCGGCCAATAGCTCCACCTCGGCTTACAACTCGACGGCGGCAAGCAGCAACAACAGCGCATTCGCCGGTGCAACCTCCCACACCCACGGCAACACCGGGAGCAGTGCCACCTACAACCCACCGCACCACCGCTCGATGAATCTCTCCGGCCACACGTATACCAGCATCGATGGCGAGCAGGCACTCTTTGATTTGCTGCGGAACAACCAGAGCGGTTAGGCAACCGGCTCTCGGGACGTTTTGCCATGATCTCTACAGCGGCGCGGAGTGACTCTTTGTGCCAGGAGTATATTGCGTACATACCACGTTTTTTTGTTTTCTTTCCGGGATTCTTTGCTCCCTGCGAAGCGGACGGCGCAAAGCCAGTCTGGCATGGGGGTATTTTGAAGGGGGCTCTATTTTTCGTTTGGCGCCTCAATTTTGCGCATTCTCATGGTCATGGGGGTTGTCCTGCCTGTTTCAGTGGCCCCTTCTATAGGGTAAAGGGAAGAGGGGAGGGACCGGCGTAACGGTAACTGAGGTGGCTTTCATCTCTCGCGGAAAGCCCCTCTCAATGGGAGATGGGATATGGGGTTTGTTGAGCTCGATGGCGTTTCTGTCCACTGGGAGCTCGAGCATGGATGGGATTCGAAGGGAGGAGGAGCACGTCAAAGACGTGATCATTTGTGGAGATAATACCCCTTTAGCATTGAGTTTAGAGGCAAGTGTCCGTCCGCCCATGGGAATACAATTCTCAGGACCGGGTGCAATATCAACGGAGGAGCTTGTGTAAACCAAATGTTCGCCGAAGACGAACGTGGGATTGGTTGTAACATGATTGTTTATAAGTCTGGTTTTGTCCCCAATGTCACTCCGCGCTCTCCCCTTCCGCCACGACCTCTACCTCTTCAGAAACATGGGGCTCCACATGTCTCGGTCTCTTAACCAGCTTCTGCTCCAACGGCAACATGCCCTCCACCTCATCATCCTTGACATCCACCCCCCTCTCCCCCGCCAGTTCAACGAGATCCCACGCCCGCGGATCCCGGTCCGCAAACAGCCTCTTGAGAACCACCAGCAGCGTCCGCTTTCTCAGCCACGGCTGCTGCACGTAGCCCCTCACTCGCGGCAGCGCCTCCATCCGCGCCAGCAGCCTCATGCACTTGCCCATCTCCCCGGCAGCTACCGCCTGGGCAACCAGCCGGTCGTAGACATCAGCCGGGCTGATGCCGTAGAACCGCGCCTCGGCGAGGAGGTACTCTGTGTTTTCCGGCGTCAGGCTGCTCCCCAGCAGCAGCTCAAACGTCCGGGCGCTCGGTCTGTTGCTCTGCAGCCGCGTCGAGAGATCACGGTAGACTTCGACAGCCTGGTTGGCCTCGCCGCGCTCGCAGAGGACCTCGAGCACGAGGTCCATCGCCGGGACGGGGACGTCGTCGTAGTTCTCGGGTGTCGAGAGCACGGCGGTGGCGAGCTTGAGGAGGTCGGGGGAGCGGAAGTCGTGGGGGCGCTTGAGGAGGAGGTGGAGGGAGCGTGTGCTCGCCGTCTCGGGCTGGACGCCGGCGGCGGACATGATAAAGAGGACGTTGACGGCGTTGCGGACGTCGCCGGCGTGGACGTAGCAGTCGATGAGGGCTTCGTAGTGGTGCAGGGCGAGCTTGCGGAGGCGGCCCGAGAGGAGCTGTATGACTTGGGTGGCGAGGGCGGCGTCGCCGTAGCGGGCGGCCGTGTTGAGCACGTTGGTGAGCATGCCGTCCGAGGGGGTGAGGGTGCCGCGCTCGACGGTGAGGTCCCAGAGGAGCTTGGTGTCTTCGTATCGGAGATCCTGGCTGCTGCGGTCGAGGAGGAAGTACCAGAGGTCGTCGGGGGGCGTGGATGGGTGGTTGTTGGGCGGAGTGGGGCGCTGCCGCATGATGTCGATGGCCTCTTCGAGGAAGCCCTGCTTTCCGAGCTCGTAGATGAAGATGTCAAAGACCCAGAGGGGTATCTCGGTCTCTGAGCGTATCAACTCTTGGAACTTGTCCACCGCGAGCTCGTACTGTGTCTCGCGGAGCAGTCCAAGAGCGACGCAGTATTCCCCTTCGTCGGAGAGCAGAAACCCGCGCACCCGGATTTCGTCAAGGATTTCCTGGCGCAGAACAAAGTTGGGGTGGTTGACCAGTAGCTACGTATAGCGACATTAGCAACCAAAACCGGAGGCAGGTCCTGGGAAGGTCCAACGAACCTTGAGAGCGGCATGCAGGAACCTCTGTGACGGCGGTATGTTGGCTGCCCTCATCTCGTTCCAGATGCGCACCAGCTCGTCTGCCGAACCGAACTTGCTATCCCAGTTGGCTACAACTAGAGCTTCGTACAGGAAGATATTTGGCTTCTCCCCGCGGTCTTCGATCAAGTACCGTACAACGCGCCTGATCCTGACAGTTTGGTCTTCGTGAACGTGTTGTCCGCGCAGTTTTTGTAGAACCTCGTAGATAGCCTTGGTTGGGAGAGGGCGTAATTTCGACATGTAATACACGTCCGTGGAGCTGTGATTCCTCTTGGGGTTCGGGCCCGGTCGCTCGGTATCGGCGTCGGTATGTGCAGCGCGGGTTTGGTAAACCCATCGTGGGGGACGTTGGAGGGCATTCGCGTGGATGGGAGATCGGGTCGCGGGGGAGGGTTTGGCGAGCAAGGCAGCGTCAATGGATGGACAGAGGCATCGCCACAGCCCGTCGATGACGACCCGAGGTGCTACACCCATTCGCGACTCGGCACGGTGCTGTGGTGGGTGGGCTATGGGGGAAGGTTGACGATTTCCATGGGTCCCGGTCTTGAAGGCAGGCCGAGGGGTTCAAAGTTTGGTCTTGGCGTGTTGCCGTCGGCAAGCGGCAGGTCGGTCCAAACAGCACCACCTACACCCCATCACGTGCACCGTCTCAACAGTGCATTTAAATTGGAAGTCGATATCGGCCTCCCGGGCTGTGAAATTCTCATGGTATTGTTTTCGTTGAACCCCCAACGTAGCGGCTTGCTTGACCCGCCTTCTGGTATAGGTCTTGGCAGTCCGCCCCTTTTCTGCGACAGCCCAGCACCCTCAGGCCCGGTTTGCGATCAATTCCTCAGGCCCGGGGCAACTCTTGTCGCTGTCGTGATGGTGTGCGCAGGCAGCCAGCCAGCGATGTGGGCAAAGGGGAGGCCTTGGCAGAGGTGACTGTGGTCCGTTGTCGCAAGGCCCCCTATGACCTCCGATTTGCGATCTCTAAGCTCATCATGATCCGCGCCCACCACGTCCTCCTCTGCCCCTCCCCTGCCCACGGCCGCCGCGGCCCCTATCCCCACCTCTTCCACCATGATCTCCTCGTTGGCCACCTCTTCCACCACGGTACCCGCCCTGTTGGTTCTGTTGCTGCTCCTTGACGATGTCAAGAATTTCGTCCTGTACTTGAAGGTATTTGATCTGCGCCCCCAAGTCAGCCCAGTGTCCCGCGGCGCTATTTTTCGAGAGGTTACGTACGTTGTTTCCTTTTACGTAGACCTCTGGTAACCTGACGAACTTGTCTCCTTCCTACAGCACCTGTCAGCCCTGTCGCAAAATCCGCATTCTCCTCGGCTCAACGCGCCGGAGGGCATCTCATACCGGACTCGTCTGCACCACCTCCCGCAATGTGAGATTCATCCAGGTGTCGCATAGTACCAGGTGGCCGTTGAGCGTCTCGCCGTTCTTGAGTTCGACCAGCATGGGGTGGCCTTGCGCCGCGTTGAGGAGGCCGAGGGGCAACTGCGAGCGACCGCGGTCAGTCAATCAGCTCAACGGCCGACAAGGGCGGGAAAGGGAAGGCGCACCATATTTGCAGGTCTTTGTATGCTGGAACGGAGGACAGAGGTGGCAGGTCGCGTGGCGCACGAGAGTAGGCGACGTTGGTGATGCTTCTTCAAGGGGAGTGTTTGGAGTTGAACATCATGCAGCCCTGCTTGCGGCTGCGCGAAAGCTCCCCCAGCCCCACTAACGCACGGGCTCATGACCAGGGTGAGCTGGTGGGGAAACAGCCGAACATCAGCCGCTGTGCTCCCATCAACAATCCCCCTTTCCTCCTCCAACGACGTTAAAAACTTGGAATGAAATTGTCTGCCAAAAAGAAGAAAGACAAAAAACTGTAGTCGACAGTTACCTTTGTATTAACCTCCAAAAATATGGACTTGGACGAGCTGGGAATCGAACCCAGGACCTTTCGCAGATTTGAAGCTGCTAAGCGAACGCTCTACCAACTGAGCCACACGCCCTATCTTATTGATGTTGGACCAGTCAAGAATCAGCCTCCATAACGCATGGCTAGGAAGGACAGCGACAACTGCACTCTGAAAAAGATCAAACAGGTAGGATCAACCCCCCAAAAACGTGCCTCACGCGTACCGGATCTCCGAGCAATTTGGAAGCTGCAGTTGGCAAGCAAACAGTTCAGTGGAAGTAATTGTGGGGCACAATGCTCAATCAGTAGGTAGGTACCCCGTACCCGCAGGACGCAGCCAGCGTTCAACCATTCCACCCCATCCAAATCCTCGACAGACAACTTCAACTCTACCCACAAACCTCCCTTCCGTTCGTCAACCGCACTCGGGAAAGCACCCGTCAACCTGCACAAGACTCCAAGGACACCGGCCCCCCCCATCTCAACTTCCCATCGTCCCATCCTCCTCGGTTCCGTGAGTCATCGGCGAGGCCCAAGAACGACGCAACACACCGAGATGACAGGATAGACACATGCTTCTGCGTCAACTGCGACATTCCCAGGCCCGTTCTCTTTCCTTTTTCCTACCCATGAAACGACGACACTCAACCTCACCAGACACATCACCCTCCAGGAAAAGGACCATGCCCAAGTCGTCAACCCCGACTATCCACCTCACCGAGCGTGAGAAGCGACTCAAGGACCTCTTGGTCGATGTTGCGCATTTCATAGATGCCAACCCCGTGGACACCGCCGGGGATGGCAAGACCAAATCAGAACCCGTCGTGCTGCGCTGGGCCGGCGGTTGGGTACGCGACAAGCTATTGGGTATCGAGAGCCATGACATCGACACTGCCATCAACTGCATGACGGGCGAGGCTTTTGCCTTGCATCTGCGCACCTTCTGCGAATCTCAAGCCAACATAGAGAAGCATTCGATTGGCCCAGAGGAAGTCAGCATTCTGTACAAGGTGGCCCGGAACCCAGAAAAGTCCAAGCACCTGGAGACCACGACGTCGCGGCTGTTTGGGCTGGACATTGACTTTGTCAACCTCCGGCGCGAGACATATGCTGAGGATAGTCGCAATCCACAAATGGAGTTTGGGACCCCAGAAGAAGACGCTGAGCGACGCGATGCAACGGTCAATGCTCTCTTCTACAGGCTAGACACAGAGTCAATCGAAGACTTCACGGGCGGCCTGCCGGATCTTGAGGCCAAGTTGATGCGAACGCCGTTGGAACCGCTCAAGACCTTCACAGACGACCCTCTGCGAGTGTTGAGACTGATCAGGTTCGCCAGCAGGCTAGGGTTCACCATTGACCCTGCGGCAGCAAAGGTGATGGCGGATGCCAGTGTGCTCAACAACTTGAAGGTGAAGATCAGTCGAGAACGAGTGGGCGTCGAGTTGGAGAAGATGCTGAAGGGTAAGCACCGCGTATCCATGCCCCGTACCGGAGAAGGGTTGCTAATAAGAAGACAGGCAACCATCCTTGCGTAGCCTTGAAGTTGATTGACAGCCTTGGACTGTATCACACAATCTTCACAGACCCTGGCCGGCCGCAGATGGCCACTCCAGATACAACCAACTGGGATATCGTGTATACTTCTCTCGACTCTCTCGCGGCAGATACTGCCCCGGACTCCATTTTCACCAGACTTGTGGCGAACGACGAGGAGAAGTACGAAGCCTGGGTCTTTGCCACCGTCGTTCCCTGGGAGCAGCTCCCTGACGATCCGCCCAAAAGGGGGAAGCTCGCGCTGCCGTTGCCCAGTCTGGTGGCTAGAGAAGGCTTCAAGGCCCCCAACAAAGTCAGCGACATCATCACCGCGGCACACCGCCATCGCGCCGAGATGGTGAACCTCAAGGATATCGTCTGCATGGCAGACTCGAAGATGTCCCAGCGGGATCTCTTTGGGATGGCCATTGTACGATGGGATTCAAGAGGAGGACACTGGCGGTTGCAGTTGCTCTATGCCATCTTGACAGATATACAACTTCGAGCAAGCAAGGGGACGGATGTGAAGGGTGTGCTGGCTGAATGGCAGAAGCTATTGGACCACCTGGTAGGGCTTGATCTTATGAATGTCCCCCAGCTGAAGCGCCTCGTCGACGGCCGGATTTTGGGGAGCACGCTTGGACTGAAACCAGGGAGATGGGTAGCGCCGGCGCTAGATATCGCTCTGGCGTGGCAGTTACGGAACCCAGAGGCGACGGACCCAGCTGGAGCACTGGAGGAGGTGACAAGGCGGCGAGGCGAGCTTGGGATATAGCCTGGGTGCCCATGAGGCGATGGGACTGGCAAGTCGGTAGTCGGTTGAGGCCAGGGACGACGAATCGACGATCTCCTAAAATGATACCCAGAGTACCAAACAAACTCCCTCCCACTTCATACACCTCCCGTGAAACAAAAGTGTGAAGTATGTTTCCATGTTAAAAATCGAGAATCTGCCCAACAGGGCATTTCAATTTCAGGGTGTCGTCGCCTGTAATACAGTGCATTGTGCCCGGGAGTGGGGCCAGTTCATGGCATGCGGCACCCCTAAAGGCGACCCTCCAGCATTTCGTCCAAAAACATCTACGGATACGAAAGAAAGAACAACAGACGGGCAGGTCGGACGGCTCTTTCTTCAGCAACCGGACCACCAATTTAGCAGGGCTACACTGTGCGCCTTCTACTCTGCTTCGAAACTCCCTGAGAGAGACCATACCCGCGGTGTTTTTCTTCTTTTCATTTTTGTTAGGTGGTCCCTGATTTTCGGGATTTGACCGTCACGAGATGGCTTCTTCAAAGCCTCTCCAAACGGCGGCCGCCGGCTTGAACAGCTCCCTCCGCGCCATCACCGATGAGGCAGATAGAGTATGTTACCTGGAAGACTCGTTTCGCTGTCATAATACCCCGATAAACGTGTGCTGACTCCCAGTTCCAGCTTAACCAAAAGAAGGGCATTATTCGCAACATTGAACAGGTCACCTCTCACCTCGAGGATGACAGCCTTTCAGTCAGTGACGCCGAGATCGAAGGTGTTGCCGCCGCCCTCGCCAAAGTCATCTCCCCGGTCCTCGTGGGTCTCGATAGTCCACCCGCCGGTGATGACGACGACAACGACGACGCATCCCAGACTCAGGAGACCTACGACCGTATTGTCAGACGAGGAGCCGACTTCTCCAAGCCGGCGATTCGGTGCCTTGACCTCCTCGCCCAACGATCCATACCGGCCGTGGCAGCTGCGGATCAAGTCATTATCACGTTGTCCGCGTTCGTGGACGAGTCGGAGCCATGGGTCCCATCGGCCGAGGTGTCGACACAAGCATCCAACCTCCTGGACCACCTCCTTGGAGATGCTCGAGCCAAGGAGCAGTTCATGGCCGAGTCCGTCCTCCAGCGCTATTTGCGACCCCTGTTTTCGAAATCAAAACCCGAGGCAATCACATCGTCGGGACGAAAGGCAGAATTCGCGGACCCCTTCCGGGGTCGGGGCGAGGGCATCCCAGACGACTCCGCTGAGACGAAGCCCTGGAAGTTCACAGACTTGAGGGCCATTCCTGCCGTTAGCTGGGTTATCAGGGAGGCAGATGTGCGTTGTTACCTCCTCAACCATTTGGACGAGCAGAGACTGACCAACCTTAGGAACAATTCATCACCAAACACTGGCCCCTTTTCATTCCAGTCCTGCTCACTCTTGTCGACGATCCGTCAACACGCGTCCGGCGCCAGGGCCTTCTGGTACTGAAGTCCTTCCTCGAAAAGTACCCCAGCAAGATCCTCCATGGCACAGGTCTAGCCCAGGTCTTTGAGGATGCCATCTTCCCGACCCTAAACTTCCTACCCTCGCTGACCCCCGAGGACGAGTCTGTCCAGCTCCTCGGCCCGGCATTCGAGGCCCTTCTATGCCTGGCAAGAAAACAGGCATCCCCGTCTACCGGCCCAGCAACCAAGGAGCCACGCCCGAATACTCTCCTGGACAAGATACTTCGCGAGGGCGTCTTCTCCGCCTACTTCCACTGCAAAGACCACCCCCGCATCGTCGAGGTCCTCTGCCAGCAAACCGTCTCCATCGTAAACCAACTAGGCCTCCACACAGTCAAACATCTCAAGGTAAGCCACCACCGTCCCCCAATCCCACAACCATCCATCTCACAGAACCCCAACCCAGGACCTCATCCCCATGCTCAGCACCATCCTCTCCGACCCCTTCGCCCCAGCCGCCCCCGCGACCCTGCTCGCCGCCATCCATGTCGTCCAGGCCGTCCTCCAAACGTGCTGGCCGCGCATCCCCAATTCGCCGTGGCAAGACGAGATTATCAACGCCCTGGCCCTTTGCTGGCTCGCCGCGAACCAGCAGCCGACGTCGCGGCCGGATACTATCCCGAGCGAGCTCGCCACCACGAGCGCCATGCTCGCGGCCGTCCTCATGACGCAGGGCCTCGACCTCGCGGACATCGTGGCGCCCCTAGTGCAAAAGGAGCCGCTCCTCGCTGCGCTCTTCTCCTCGTCCCCGTCGTCCGAGACTTGAGAAGATACCCCGTCAAACAGCGTTCATAGAGTGGCGAATTAGTTGGTCGTCGGGGCTGGAAGGGACACTGACCGCCGTGGTTATCGCAGTCCAAGCAAAGGGGGGTCCTAACCACGGCGGCGGTGAGTCGCTTCGCTTAGTTCCTCAAGGAGTGCTTTTCTGTCACATGACTCATATCAAGCAAAGGCGTGGTGGCGGAGTGGTCTAACGCGCAAGACTAGAAATCTTGTTCCTTCGGGAGCGTCTGTTCGAATCAGGCCCACGTCGAGATGTGAAAATTGTTCTTTTTGCCCCTCATTCCTAGGAAGCAGACAGAAAACTGGTGGGTATCAAATGCTTTTTTTTTCTCACTGCAATCCGCTATCAAATGACGACAAAATGGGACATGCAACTATGAGCCCTCATCGGTGCTGCCGGACGGCGCCGGCGGCGAAACCGACCTCCTCCCCATACCCCGACGTCCTACAGGAACACGGCGACCACGGACATTCGGCGGTAAACACCGAGGCAAAGTCTTCTGCATCAGGCGAAGGCGGGAG